GACAAGACGCAAGTCAGGTCGTGAAAACCCTCTTGTTGCTTTCATATAGGTAAAGCCATCCTTCTAAACTAACGCTTAGTCACTGGAAATATTAATGTTTGAAAGAAACGCATAAAGTCCATTTAAATTGAAAAAGAGCCCAAGTGAGGTGGGAGATTCAGAACCTGAAGCAATTCCATGCTTGCTTCATTAAGGTCTTTTGCATTGCAAAATGGGCTTGGGAAATAATATGGTTCAGGGACTGTGACACAGACTACCAAGGTTCCAGAAACTTGTCGAACGATCAAGCCTGCCGTGTTTGTCATCCTCTACATAACCCATAGAGTAGCAGAGCATGTCATGTTGACGTCACGTGTCATATTTCATAAGTACATCATGAAGTGTCTGAAAACTGATCGAAATGCATAGTTGTAAGCAAATTATATCTCACTGTGAATCTATGGTGATTCTGATAATGTAACATTCTGATCCTATCCCTGATTTATTTATGAAACAGACGAGGGTATCTTACATGCCACAAATATTATTCAACTATACTTCAGGGTGCTCTAGTGGTCCAGTCATCTATTGCACAGCAAAGCGTAGGACCTCTTCCTATAACTTATTGCCTGTCGTTATTATCCCAATCAACAAACAAAGCAGCAGTATGAATACTTACACAGATATAACTCTGCTGAGTACTGTCGGTAAGATATTCACATACATTATAGACAGAAGATTTTTGAGTTGTCACAAGGTATAATACATAATCCCAGAACTTTCTGCGGGAGTTGGTTGAAGGTTGTAAGGACTGACGGACTACGTTAATGGAGCTGTTGATCTAGTTGTTTCGACGTAATCCCCTTTGGAGACAATTTCTGCATAATGCTTGTCAATATTTATCACAGAAGAAAGTCTTCGTTGAAGCAGGTACTCCGGTCTTGAGTCCGGGAATCAACGTTGGAAACCCGTGGCTGGTTCCCGATAGTTCCACTGGCCAAGTAGTTTACACGCGTTATATTTGGGATTACACTTTCTCAGTACAGATTCTAGTACTTTTGTTGGGTTGTGTCCCATCCGGTTTTCGCACCCACACCATCAGAGTGGGGCACCTAGTCGCCAGGGTGTAGGTCAGGATGTATGATGAAGCACAGGCAAACTGTAGCGCAAATAGGTTTGCGCAACAAAGAGAAAAATGCCAGTCTTCTCATATACGAGCGAAGCAAGCAAAAGTTGGCAACGTGCTTCCCTCACTTCGGTTCGAAACATATTTTTAATATCAAATTAAAATATCGCCATCATCAAAGGTAGACACCCATTTCCTCACAGAGTTGTGCTCTCAGATTTCCAACCTCATATTTAATAATTACTCACGTACAATATATTTAATTCAACATTTAGAGCGCCACTCCTGGCATGTCAAATCGTTCTTCGCCTCCATTACCCCTGCCAGTTTCCGGTTCAACGGTGTGAAGGAACAGGGGAGTTAAAGAACCACTAAACTTTGTTTTTGGTTTCTCTTTTAACCATTACATATGAAAGATTTGTGGTTAGTCTTATGCGGAACACCAAATTTATTCTTTAAAAACTTGTGGTTAATTAATACCGAGCGATTAAAAGTGACCAAAAAGTCGCCTGCTTCCCTCTCGCCCGCCAACGAAACCACAGACAGGTTACGTAACTCTGTCGCCAGAGCACTGCAGTGACGTCATATGAGGAACGATTTTCAGTTAGTTGTATAGAAAGTGTGTAGCACGCTCATCATTTTGATGATTTCTCGACATGAACGACGACATGCCGAATCGTTGCTTTGTCGTCAATTGCTCCTAGGGGTCGGGTGATGGTGTCACCATGCACAGATTTCCACAGGATCCCGCAGTTCGTGCTAAATGGGTTATGTTTGTGAGTGCGAAGCGAGCGTTGTGGAAGCCTGAAACGATATCTTACTTGTGTTCAGATCGCTTCACGGAAGTTAAAGAATCAAAACTACTTACTAGTTATAGTAAAATATGTATATGATTGATGACCATAAAGATTTTCAATAACACAACTTGTAACATAACGATTTCTTCCTCGGAAGTGAGGTTGTGGTCGAAGTAACAATAATATTGTAAGTAGTATTATATTGACACCCACCTCGCTGCCAGGAGAGAAATTGTCATGTTATACGCTATGTCATGCAAAATCCTATTGGCCATCAATAAAATACATATTTTACTACCAGTAGAAAGTAGTTTTGATTTTGTAACTCGGTGAAAACAAACCTAAATAGCATTTATCCACAGACTGGCGGATGTTCCCGACAGGGCGCCGCCATTTTTGAAAATCGTAAAGTCTGTTAGAATTAATGAGATTATAGTTTGTTTTCATCAAGTTAGAAAATCAAGACTACTTTCTACTCGTAGTTAAATATGTATTGGAATCATAACCAAAAGGGTTTTGCATGACACAACTTATAACATAACGATTTCTTCCACGGAAGCGAGGTGGGGGTCGAAGTCACAATACTGCGCGATAAATTTCTTGCTACATTCCCATGGTTAATGTCCACTCACCAGTATGTAGATACTAGTCAATGTGCGTCTTTATATTTGGTCTTATAATCCTAATTAGTTTATTATCATACTTTTATGCATTTTGAAACTAAATAAAAGCTGACGATCTGCTGATACTTATAGTGAATTTATAACAGAACTGTAATATCTAGACATTTTATAGTTTGCCAATGTGAATCATAATTCGCACACACACACCTAGTGTATGTTGTCTGTCTCATTACACTTCACGGCGAAAACAATGATTCTGTTGAATGCTACGACAAATGATTAAAAAACAAAATGCAAATATTAAAATTAAAACAGATTAAAGTTATAGGAACAATATCAGGCCATACCTTATTTGAGGAATGTATCCATCAATATCCACAAAACTGTTCCAAATGATGTGTCTTTTAACAGTTTAATATACGAAAAAGTGATAAATCTTTTCAGGTATTGGTGTATAGTCTCATTGGTCACCCAAGATAGCACACCTGGCAACTAATTGCATAATGTCCGCCTTTCATTAAAAACAGTAATTTAGTTAGCCAATAATGGGCAATCAATCAATGTATTGCCGGTTAATCCTTTGAAAGAAGGACGTTGTTTTTACGCAGACACCGACACGGCAGAGTGTATTCAGTATAGATTAGGAAATCTACATACATAAACACTACCTTTTGACAATTCCGCTGTGTAAGATAAAAATAATTCATCAATCAGCGAGTTATCGGTTAATCCTTTGATCGATGTTCATAATGTTGAATATTTACTCCAGACACAAGAAATGCCAAATGGGAACCTTTGTCGGGTAATCTAAGTGTGTTACCACTAATTATACCTGTTATAAATTCATTAACTGACCATCAAGTGAATGATGACAAATAACATGTGTAGGTTTATACCACCTAACACGGGTTACAGCAAGGGAGTATTAATTGCTGTATTGCATGTGAAAACTTATGGGCCGACACTGTTTTGAGAATACAAACAGATTTTTACATGACATGATTAAATATCGAGGTAAAAAAACACAGAAATGGGATCAATTTGGATCAGTCATTATACAAATAGGGCCTAACGACACCAATCACTTGCGACAGGAGCGTCTATGAAAACAAGTTGTAACTCGGAAACTAGGCAAAGCAGGAGACAAAATTAAATGACAGTAGATTGTGAGAACATATAGCTTTCATTTTCCACAACAATTGTCACGATTTCAGGTTTATAAGAATAACAATTCACCAAGAACTCGCATCCACAGGGTTTTATTCGTTGCTGGTAAACAATGGTGTGCGTTGATATACGGTGACACGTACAAATGAATGTAAGATACACGTTGAACGTTGGTCATTGGTCGTGTAAAAGATAACTAGTTGAGTTGATGAGTGACTGAGTGGATGAGGTTTGGAAAACTAGAATAAACAGAAACAATTTGTAACATAATTTGACTATAAAATACAATGCATTGAAGAAGTATCATCTAAATTTATGTTTAACAACTTTGAAAACCTTTGAAGATTCTTTGAACACTTTCAGAAAATATGGCATGTAACAATAACATTATGAGGCCATGAACTTCAAAGAAGACTATTAAACATTATATTTATACAAAATAGAATAGTAACTGTGAAACAATAAAGAAGCAAGACTTACATTTGTGTTCCTGTGCTCTACATTAATATTAACAGTCAGAGGAGACCTCTTGACGCTATGGAGGCTGCTACCACACTGAAGCATGGGGTCCCAGTACCACATGTGCTTTTTAAGGTCACATGACAGGAAAATTGTATTATGGGATATGAAACATAACAAATCTGCAAAAGTTTAATTAGAAAGCTGGGATTGAACCCTGGCTGGCTGGGTTACTAACAAGGGAGGTAATAGCTGATACTAGGATGAAGTAAGAGCTGCACTGTGCTATGGAGACAGTACACATTACGAAGACATTTATAATGCATGAAATATGCAAATGAAAATTATGTGAAAATACCTGCATGAGGGAAATATGCACAGAAAAAATGACATGTGTATCTTGCATTAACATACTCGGCCTCTTAAACATACCAAGGGTAGTTTAATAAATACACATATAATGCAAAGTTTAATCAATACCTCACATGCCAACCTGTGCTGAGCCCGATGGGACGAGCAGAACCAGCTTGTGAATAGGTCGTCGTAACTCTGCACCTCTTGCTTTCAACAAAACACTTCTGACAGTGCCATGCGTATCCACCTCAGTCTGGATTACACGACCCATGGACCATGCACTCCTGGGTAAAGTGTCATCCTTGATAAGCACAACATCGTCCAGTTGAAAGTTCCTCTTAGGACAATTCCATTTTTTGTCGTTGTTGCAGAGACTGAAGGTACTCTTTCTTCCATCTGGACCAGAAGACGTTGGTCAGATACTGAATACGTTTCCAACGCTGGCGGGCGTACACATGATTATGCTGAAATGTGCCAGGCGGTGGGATAAACACATCAGGCTTCATCATGAGGATGTGATTTGGAGTGAGGGGGGTGAAGGTCGTCTGGATCCCCAGAAACTGTAGTAAGAGGCCTGGAGTTCAGGATAGCCTCAATTTCACACAATAATGTTCTGTACAGCTCATCGTCAAGGTATGATCCAAACTCATGAAGCATGGGATTGAGAATACTGCGGACAGATCTGATCAGTCTCTCCCAAGCGCCACCCATATGGCTTGCTGATGGAGGATTAAAGCTGAAATTGATTTCCTTGTGAAGCATATCAGAATGAACTTTTTCTTGATCGAGCTGATCCAAAGACTCCTTGAGCTCTCTAGCTCCACCAACAAAGTTTGTCCCATTATCACAGAAGATTTCCTGAACTGGTCCCCTCCTGGCAATGAAGCGACGAAGAGAGTTAATAAAGGAACTTGTATCAAGTGAGTTAGCCGTTTCAATATGGACAGCTCGGCTACTGAGACACGTGAAGAGCACGCCATAGCGTTTAACACACTTCCTTCCCTCCTTTACAACATGTGGTCCAAAAAAGTCAATTCCAGTGTAGGTGAATGGACCAGCTGGAGTCACTCTACATGCTGGAAGGTCAGACATCATCTGGGTACTTGTTGGGGTCTTAAATCTTCTGCAAAACACACATTTGTTCATCACACTTCTTATAGCAGAATTTGCCCTTGTGATCCAATACTTGGCCCTCAAGGCTGATAGAACATGATTTCTCCCAACATGCCCAAGCCTGTCATGAGTGTCTCTAATGATTAACATGGAGACATGGTTCTTTTGGGGCAGAATGATAGGATGTTTCATGTCTTCAGAAATTTCGGCTCTTCTCAGGCGTCCACCAACACAGAGAAAACCGTCTCTTATAACTGGGTTCAACTTGTACAATGGGCTGCTTCTGCTTACATTCTGTGCTCGGCCTCGTTCATCTGCTGCTTTCAGCAATAAGTTCATCTCAGACTTGTACTCTTGATGCTGGACAAACCTAAGGATAGCTTCTCTAGCACGAGACACCTCTTGGACAGTAAGCGGTACAAACGTTAGGTTACTGACCTTTACGGTCTGTGCCTTGTACTGGAGGAAAGCAAAGAATCGTCTATAGATTGCAACAGCTCGTTGCAACCTGTGCCATGATGAGTAGTGTTGGAGCAACTTACATACAGTGTCCTCTTCACTTGATGCCAATGTTCCTGCAACAACTGATTTCATCATAGTCATAGCAACAGTTTCTGAAGTTTCATTACTTGCAATGCATGGTTGCTGAGGCCAATCCTTCTCAAAGCATCTAAGAAATGGTGGACCATCAAACCAAAGGGAAGATTTCAAAAACTTGGCACATGTAGTTCCTCTTGATGCAATATCAGCAGGATTACTTTGGGAGTACACATATTTCCACTGCTGAGGATCAGTGTAATCTCTTATAAGCTTCACTCTATTAGTCACAAACACAGGGTACCTGTTTCGTTCGTTGGTGATGTAGTGAAGTACTGTTGTGGAGTCGGTGTAGTATGTTGTACTATCAATGTCCATGTCTAGCTCCTTCTGAAGAAATGTCCCGATCTTCACTGCAGTGGTTGCTGCTGTCAGCTCCAGTCGTGGAATAGTGATGACCTTGAGAGGTGCAAGTCGTGCTTTACCCATCACTAGAGCAGTGTGAATGTTCTCTTCATTACAGAGTCGAATGTAGGCTGCACACCCATAACCTGTAACACTTGCATCCGAAAATATATGGAGCTGGCAAGAGACAACATTACCAAAAGCGGGTGGTTTCAAACAGCGTCTTACCTCAAGATCTTTAAGCAAATCAAGTTCGCACAGCCACCTATTCCAGCTATCACAACAGCTCTTTTCTACATGATCATCCCAGTCAAGAGACTTGTCCTTGCACAGGTCTTGCAGTATTTTCTTGGCTGGAAGTAGAACTGGAGATACTAGGCCAAGAGGGTCATAAAGGGAAGACATTGTAGACAAAATCCCTCGTCGTGTAGCAGGCTTTTCTGGCAAGTCAACTGAGAACTTGAATGAGTCAGACTGAATGTGCACTTGCATACCGAGAGCCCGTTCCATGGGGATGTCGTCACAGCTAAGATCTATGGCTTGAATGTCTTTAGAACAATGCTCTGGAGGAAGGGAAGACAAGACATGCTTACTGTTACTGGTAAACTTTGTGAGATTGAATCCCCCTTCAGCGCATGCCGATCGCAACTGTGAGATCAGTGTGACAGCAGATTTTTCATCCTGAAGAGACTTAAGACAGTCATCTACATAAAAGTTTCTATATATTGTATAGGCAACATCAGAATCATACTTGCCCTCAGACTTGTGTGCAGATGCTTTCAGAGCATAGTTGGCGATGCTTGGGGAAGAAATTGTGCCAAAGGTGTGAACAGTCATTCTGTATTCCTTCAAATCACTGTCTACATCACCGTCAGGCCACCACAGAAATCGCAGGTAATCTTGTTGCTCCTTGGGTACTTTTACTTGATGAAACATTGCTTCAATGTCTCCCATGAAAGCAATGTCTTCTTTGCGGAACCTGGTGAGCACTCCAATAAACGAGTGGGTGAGGTCTGGACCTTGCAGCAGTACATCATTTATAGACACACCATCGAACTTGGCGCTGCAATCAAACACTACACGGATCTTGTTGGGTTTACGGGGATGATACACACCGTGATGAGGCAAGTACCAGATATGACCAGGCTGACCACAGAGTTCACTCTTGGGGACCTCACAAGCATATCCTGCTAACAGAATGGAGTTCATGAAGGCAACATAGTCCCTGTGATAAATTTCATTCTTTAACATCTTTTTTCTTTGCCACAAAATACGTTTAACAGCTTGCTGTCTGTTACATGGCATCAAATCAGTTTTGCGAAATGGGAGTGGAATCTGAAAATGACCATCAACGAACTGCATATTCTTTTCAGTGTCATCAATGAAGCGTTGATCTTCGATAGAATATCCTCGCTGACCAGGATCCTGACCTATATCATGCTCATTGAAATCCAGCTCAAACAGTTTTAGTACATTCTCATGTGTAAAACACTCACTGACTTTTATCGTTTCCTGAAGAAATATTCTGTTGCAGACTACTGTATTGTTCTGGAGATTACGGGTTAGTTGAAGTGGTCCGTTCACTGTCCAGCCAAGCTTGTAACAAGCTGCAAACGGTCCTGCATCATCTGAAGAGATTATACCTAGTGGCTGTAGAGCTTCTGGACAGTTGCATCCGATCAGCAGTCCTATCTCCAAGTCAGGTTGATACGCTGGAAGCTTGTCTGCAAGATGGCTAAGATGAGACACACGTTTTAGAACATCAGGCTTAGCAATGTGATCATTCAACAGGCATTTCATCACGAGAAAATGTGCGTGGCAAACAGACAGAGTTACTGTTGGAGATATCAGACACTATGAGATCTGGTACAACTGACGTGTCTATGAGATCTGTTCCATTCATAGTCTGTAACTTTAAGACACTAGGCAAATGGTTAGCATCCAATTGTTCCCTGAGACTGTCCGTTATGAAGCAGCCAGTACTACCATTGTCCAAGAATGCATACGTTGTAACTACCCTCTCACTTCCCTTCTGTCTGACGTTTACAGGAATGATCGATTGAAGGATAGTTTCGTTGACATTGGAACTAATGGAGTTACAACTTGTTGCGCTTAGTAGTTATTCTTTCCATGGGTGTCTTGGTAGTTGATGCCTCGGGCGAGTGTTCAGATTTCTTGATAGGCTTGAAATTCTCATCGTGCAAAGCAGTTGGGTGACTTTTACCACAGGTCCTGCATTTTCTCCTCTTCATGCATCCCTTGACAGAGTGATTAAGTCCGTAACAACCAAAGCATCTGTTGTTCTCCTTCAAATAGGAACGTCTATCTGCCAGAGACTTGCTGCAAAATGCACTACAATTATCAATGTCATGAGGTTCCTTGCAGAAGTAGCAAGATAAGTTTGTGTTACCGTTTGAAGCACTGTTGTCGACTTTTGTAGCAAAACTCTGAGACTTGGGAACTTGTGGTTTGTTGCGTGAAGCATCATTAGCTTTGCGAGGACGATCATTGCTCACAGAAAGTGCCTGCTTACCAAAAGTTGGCTCATTTGCTGATTTAGCTGCAAAGTCTACAAAGTCTACTAGATTTCCAAATCCAACATACTGTGCTCCATTCATTCTGGCCTTGGTAACATGATCTCTCCATCTAGTCTGTAGATGCTGTGGAAACTTCTGTACAATTGACTGCATATAAGGAGCATGGTTTAATACAGACATATGAGATATGCTGTCCATCACGTGATAACACTTGATGAGAAGATAGGAAAACTGTTTAAGTCCAGAATAATCATCAATTTTCAGTGTAGGCCATGATAGCACTTTGTTCAGGTATGCTGATGATACTTTATAGGGATCTCCATATTCTTTGAATAGCAGATCTCTTGCAGATTGATAGCCAGTAGTCATGTCCATATATAGACAACCAGAGACAAGATCCTTAGGCTCACCTTGTAAGTGCTGGTTCAGATAGTATAACTTGTCTGCGTCAGCTCTTGCATGTGGGATGATCCGAGCATCAAAGGCCATGATGAAAGAAGCAAACTCTGTAGGGTCACCCTGGAACTTTGGAACTTCTGGCTTGGGAAGAAACATAGCGTTGACCATCTGTTTCTGAGTCTCAACAAAAAGCTGACTAGAATTAAGATCTTGATCTGGACGGTTATACCTCATGTTCCCTTGAGTTACATTGTTATGCGACCTTTGAGATGTAGGCTGAAAATCCCTAGCATCAGGATTGAGAACTTTCCTGTTTGGTTCTTTACATGCTGAAGAATGCCTCCGAGTATGAATATCATATTTGCAAGTGTTAACACTGGCCGTTGATATGGGTACTTTAGGCTTTGTCTCATTGAGAGAAGTATTGGACATGGAACATTCTCTGCCACCGTCAATGACATTTGAAACCATATGCTTAGGGTTCGACTCACGTGATTGTAGATCAAGTGTTGCATATTCCTGACCTTCAGCTTCAGCAAAGACTTGCTCACGGGCAGCAGACTTGGCAATAGCAATGTCCAGCCTCATTTCTTCAATGTCCATCTTGGTCTGCTGCATCATCTTCTCCATCTCCAACTTCTTATGCAACATAGTCCTCTCTGCGAGCAGACCTGCAAGCTTAGCCTTTTCACATGTATGAGAAGATACTGACCCACTGACGCTTGTACGTGATGTGGAAGACTTGGACTTAGACTTCTTACTCTCACACGAACCTGTAGCAGATGCCGACTCATTCTGAACTTCTTCCGCCAAGTCCCGTTCAGTGGATTGGATCCAATGCTTGGTCAAGTCCTTGAATGCCAACATGGAATTCACCCTGATGTCTACGATCTGCTGCACACCGTGCCTCTCAGCTGGTTCTAACTCGCTGCAATAGAGCTCAGCACAGGTGAGGTACCTAAAATACAACTGGTTAAATGTATCAGAAGCAGTCTTAACTAAATGCAAATTGTCACCACTTTCCATCAACTCATTAAGCTTATTTCTACATTTAGTAACAGCTGAAAGAGAAGTAGCAGCCTTATTTCTCAACAGATGTAAATGTTCAATTTTAGCCTTTTCAGTAAGAGTTCTTTGACGAGAAGAACGTCGAACGTCATCACTTCTGTCTTGTGAACCACCAACAGCACCCTGGACACCATCAAAGTCATGAACATCGGATGCATAAACATTCTCAGTGCCATTAGCAATGTCACCAGTTATGTTGTGCGAATACATCGTTCACGTTGCACAACAAAGTCAAAATATGAGCACCATACCTTGCACACGTTGAATACAGAAACGACACCATGCAAGGTTGGAAGAGTGGTGTAGCAATACGGCCTCACACAGAAGACACCAAGAACGTCGTTGTCATCCTCTGACTGTAAATTTTTCCAAACAAATGTAGACGCAAGAATAACAATTCACCAAGAACTCGCATCCACAGGGTTTTATTCGTTGCTGGTAAACAATGGTGTGCGTTGATATACGGTGACACGTACAAATGAATGTAAGATACACGTTGAACGTTGGTCATTGGTCGTGTAAAAGGATAACTAGTTGAGTTGATGAGTGACTGAGTGGATGAGGTTTGGAAAACTAGAATAAACAGAAACAATTTGTAACATAATTTGACTATAAAATACAATGCATTGAAGAAGTATCATCTAAATTTATGTTTAACAACTTTGAAAACCTTTGAAGATTCTTTGAACACTTTCAGAAAATATGGCATGTAACAATAACATTATGAGGCCATGAACTTCAAAGAAGACTATTAAACATTATATTTATACAAAATAGAATAGTAACTGTGAAACAATAAAGAAGCAAGACTTACATTTGTGTTCCTGTGCTCTACCTTAATATTAACAGCCAGAGGAGACCTCTTGACGCTATGGAGGCTGTAGAGTGTAGGACTTGTACCTGACTTAATGTTGATGAGTGTGTGACGCAGGGTCCACTTTAAAGGGTAATATTAGCGTCAACAGAGTATAGGTTTACAACTGACAGAGCGAATGTTGCCTGTGAAACACTTTGTTCAGCCTTTGACCAATATGTAGGTCTCGTCATGAGAGCTGAAGGCAACAATACAGTGCATAGACTAACCTTTCTCATGTTTAAGTCGAAACGACAAGCACTTCCGGTTAGTCTGGCTGAATGGTGTGTATCGATGCGGGGCTCTATGATATTGTCAGTCAGGAGTAACCGGAGAGTCTGGTCATCATGGAAGTCGACAGACAGGAAGTCAGTGTAATTCAGCAATGAGATATTGGTTATCATACTATTACCATAACGTAACGTCGCAAGATAATGAACAATATCAATTTCATATATTTTAGCCAGTCGTAATTTCCTGCATGAAGTCAACCAGACAGTAATTGAATAGTTGTAATTTCTTTGATACGACGGTCTCGAGCGAGATGCTTTCTTCGTCATTGTTACACGCACTATGAGTGTCAATGGATCACATGGCAATACCGTTACCCTCAAACTCCTCCGGTACGCCGGCCCGTGTCTGGTGTCTCTGTGGATAGGGAGCCCCCAGCTAGCCCAGTCTGTCTCACAGTCCCTGAATCATATTATTTTCCCTACAGCTTAGCTCTCCCTACAATGCTAAAGACCTAAATGAAGCCAGTCTAGATTTCCCTAAGTTCAGTAATCTGCATCTTTGATCTCCCTGGGGCTCCTTTTAAATTTAAATGGGTATATTTGTTACAATACAAATTATTTATATTCAGAGACTAAACGTTAGTATACAGCTGATACAAGTGCTGTGTAAATATGTTTGACTGTCATAATCTGCTTGTCGTGTGTTTGAATCCCGTGTCCATACCTGCCGTATCCATATCCTTCTTATCTCAAAGCCATAGATCAGTGAACAGTAAACTACGGTTACAACGAACAGGCTTATAACGAACTGGCTTATAACGAACAGGCTTATAACGAACAGGCTTATAACGAACAGGCTTATAACGAACAGGCATATAACGAACAGGCTTATAACGAACAGGCATATAACGAACAGGCTTATAACGAACAGGCTTATAACGAACAGGATTATAACGAACATGCTATACGAACAGGCTATAACGAACAGGCTTAAAACGAACTGGCTTATAACGAACTGGCTTATAACGAACAGGCTTATAACGAACAGGCATATAACGAACAGGCATTTAACGAACAGGCATATAACGAACAGGCTTATAACGAACAGGCTTATAACGAACAGGCTATAACGAACAGGCTATAAAGAACAGGCATTTAACG